AGGGGAGTGTTAGATGTACTAGCAACAGAGCTTTTTTCAGCCGGAATGTAGGGGAGCGCAGTTCCGGTGCCTCCAGCCCTGAATGTATGTAATGGCAAAGGATGCTGGGATGTGCTGGTCTATTGATGCTGGCTGCTGTGAGATCTATTGTCGCTGGAGGGGATCTATTTTTGCGTGGGGATCAATTATTGCAGGGGGGTCTATTGTTGAGGGAGAGGTCAATTGATGCTGGCTGCTGGGAGATCTGATGCTGCTGCTGGGGGTCTATTGTTGCTGGAGTGTGTCTATTGTTGCTGGGGTGGTATTTTTTTTTGCTGGGGCAATGTTGCTAGGGCAGTCTATTGTTGTGGGGGATCTATTGTTGTGGGTGATCTTTCGTTGCTGGGGGGGAATATATGTTTTGCTGGCTGCAGGGGATCTACTTTAGTGCTTTACATGATATCATTAACAAATTCCATACAAATTGACAAAATGATACTTGGTTCTGTATCCTCTAAAAGGGGTGGTAATAGGAGGTGGGTAAGAACAAGGGATGGTGCTTGGAGGTGGGTAGGGGGTGATGACAAGGGGTGACTCAGAAAGGGGAGTTCCTGAGTCACCCCTGCCTAACCCTGACTAGCAGATTTAGATACACTAACAAATTAAAGCCAAACTCCATCTAACACTTTATAAACAGTTACAGCAACCTTTTTTGGGGGGGGAGGCATAAAAGTTTTACATGAATAAATAAAAGTTGGTCATTGTAAACACCCCTTTTAGTGGTAAATGGTTTAGTGGTTTGTCTCTTCCCTGTAACTGATACATTTGCAGGAGAGTTTGGTCTTTTGAAAAATAACTTAGTGGCCAGACAACCAGGGGATAATAAAAGGTAAGAAAGCCCAAAAACAAAAACTAACGCAGCCATCACATCTAAGAATTGGTAAGTTGCAATATAGTAAATGTTTGCTTTTGGGTGAATACCGCTTTAAGTCATATCAGTAAAATATGGCAGAATTCAAAATACATTACAGTTTTATTGTATTTTAGGCCTATCCATGCTTATTTAACAGGGTTCAATGTGCGATGATTCGATTATGCCTTATTTTGCTATGCAGTGCAGCCATGATGTCTTAATTTCAAAGCAGGTCTTTCGAATATGATTAACCCACGGGGTCACTGAGTAATATAATTAGCAATGACAGATTCTGTATATCTGTGAAATCGATATCAGAAGTAAAATGGTATAGCATATATTAGTTTATTTTGTTTGGCTCTGTATACAGAGCTCAGTGACAAGATTAGCATTGGTTTGTTATGTGATGGATTTGGAGAGGGTGATTAGATTGAAATAATTATTGGTGGTTGTAGCTTAGAGTATATATAAGCATGTTAATGCGGACAGACGCAATAATACCTCCTGTCACTAACAGCCAGCTGGAGATGCACGGCTATTGATTGTATTGGGAATGGGCCATTGTAAAGATAATTTTGGTTATTTCACATATATTTTATAATTATGTGCTGGGCCAGTGGGATTTTATATTAAAAAAACACCAATTATTTTGTTACTATGGCAACCTAAGTAGGAGCACATTGGTAAATAGCATTTGTTATAAAACCGCATTTTAGAGGCATTTTTAACCTTTATGTTTCCAGACATAGGGAGACCGTAAAGCACTGAATGCACTATAGCAGCTGATCTAAGGGCAGTTCATGGTACAGAAAAGCAAATGGCAGAACCTTAGCTAGCCACAGAGGTCCCGGCATTTGATCGTTCGATGGAGGGACTCTGTTTGGGAAGGGGTAGGCTGTAACCCTGAGTTGGACAGTAGTTTGGACCTCATTTATGTCCGGTCCTAGGACAGGGTGGCTACACCTTCCCTTAAAGTGTTACTAAACCCAGGACCCTGCATTCATTATATTCAGTCTTGCATAGTACACAGAACATGGAAATTATTTTTGTAAATATAGTTTGTTTTTATCTACTGATGCCCCTTATCTGCATTTTTTATGTGTTTTACTGTGTTCCAGTGCAGTTGAGTGCAGATAAAATGCAGCATTTTCTACCTTTTTTCTGGAACTGACAGCACTGGTGTGAACTATGCCATTGTAAACCTATATATAAATATAACCTAGTATTCATGCATTTTTGATGCAGAAAAAAACCCGCACTGGACTGCATGTGGTGTGAACCTGCCCTCAAAGGTATAGTTCACCTTTATCAACAAAAACTGCCTTTGCAGAGAAGGGGTGTCTGTAGATTGAAAAAAAAACTGTGCTTTGACCAAGGTTTAATAATGCCCTTAATACAGATGTAGGCCATTTACCTACCTCCTGAAGCCTGACTGGAAACCTCCCAGGATGTTAAGTGAGGCCTAGTCCTTACTGTTCACCCCCACCATCACAGGAATTAGCTTTTTCTCTGATTCAAACCCCCTCACACACTCTCTCTCGGCTGATATAGTAGCTCTGATCTCAGTGTTGACAGCTCACTCCTGTGATGGTGAGCAGTAATAGCTCACTTAGCAATGACCTTAGCAACATCCTTAGAGTTTATCAGTCAGGCTTCATGAGGTACGTAAATGGCCTACACCTACAGCAAGATCATTATTCATCTTTAGTCAGAACTGCACAGTTTGTTTTTACCTACTGATGCCCCTTATCTGCATAGGCAGTTTTTTGGTAAAGGTGAAGTAACCCCTTAACAATGTGAGCCTATTGAAGTGCTGGAAGCCACATTAGGTTGTGTTCTGTATTAGTTGATTTGACATACAGTTGTATTGATAATGTACTGATATATAGTTGTATTGATACTGTATCAAAAGATATATTGCTGTATTGATATTATATTGATATACAGTTGTATTGATATCATATGGTGTTAACATATAATTCTATTATTACTGTATTGATATAAAATGTATATAGTTGCATTTATATTGTATGCTATTGATATAAAATTGTATTAATACTGATATATATATATATATATATATATATATATATATCTACACACAGTGCTCAGCATAAATAAGTACACCCCTTTTGAAAAGTAAGATATTAATCAATATCTCAATTAACTCAAGAAAACCTTTTGACAAAACTGAGTTTTATAGTACATTTGTTTAACTCATTACATGACAGTAAGGTAAATAATATAACTTAGATTACAAAATCTTCAGTTTTACTCAAATGAGTTGATGCAACAATGAATACACCCCACAACAAAAAATTGTTCCATATAGTATTTTGTATGACCTCCATGATTTGTAATGACAGCACCAAGTCTTCTAGTCATGGCATGAACAAGTTGGTGACATATTGCAACATCTATCTTTTTCCATTCTTCAAGAACAACCTTTTTTAGTTCCTGGATGCTGGATGGAGAGTGATGCTCAACTTCAGAACTCACCATAGGTATTCGATTGGGTTCAGATCAGGAGACATACTTGGCCACTGAATTACTTTCATCTTGTTCTTCTTCAGAAATGTAACAGTGGCCTTAGATGTGTGTTTTGGATCATTGTCATGTTGGAAAAGTGCATGGCGACCAAGGGCATGGAGTGATGGTAGCATCTTTTCTTTCAATATAGAGCAGTACATCTGTGAATTCATGATACCATCAATGAAATGCAGCTCCCTGACACCAGCAGCACTCATTCAGCCCTGCAGAAGTACACTGCCACCACCATGTTTCACTGTAGGCACCATGCATTTTTCTTTGTACTCCTCACTGTTGCAACGCCATACAGTTTTGAAGCCATCAGTTCCAAAAACATTTATCTTGGTCTCATCACTCCAGAGTACAGAGTCCCAGTAGTCTTCATTTTCAGCATGGGCCCTGGCAAATTCTAGGTTGGCTTTTTTGTGCATGGGCTTTAGGAGAGGCTTCCTTCATGGATGACACCCATGCATGCCATTCCTCTGCAGTGTATTCCATATTGTGCCACAGGAAACAATCACCCCAGTTTCATTTTCTAATTTTTTAGCTAACTGCAGTGAATTTGCATTGTAATTTTCTTAAACCTTTCTCATCAGAAGACACTCCTGTCGAGGCATTAACTTCCGTGGACAAACTGGATGCCTCTGTGAGATGGTTGCAGTTCCATGTTTGTTAAATCTCTGTATCACTTTTGCTACAGTATTCTGACTGATAAGTAAAGCTTTGCTGACTTTCTTGTAGCCTTCACCTTTCTGGTGTAAAGAAATTATTTTCTTTCTCAGGCCTTGTGACATTTCTTCTCCATGTGGTGCCATTGCTGACAGCATGAAATGGGAGGGGTTTTCTTTACGTAATGCCCTTTTATAATCAACTGTCTGGACACCTGTTTAATGAATAATTAGACTCACCTGTGGTTGAATTCTTGTTAATTATGATTTTGTTGTCTAAAATGTACCTTTACTCCTTAGACCTTCATTAGGGTGTATTCATTTTTGCAACATGGTATTCAATGAATTTGTTAGGAAAAATATTTTTTTGTGTGTGCACGTTAACAAATCTCGTTTGCAATCAATGGCCTGCATTTGTGGGAGTATTTTTTGCAGTATAGTGTTCCATAGAAAATGTTGATTCTGAAAGGAAAGTGTTTTCTGACAAATCTGTTTGGGTGTACTCATTTATGCTGAGCACTGTATATATGAATTTATGTCAGGTAACGCATCACTTCGCCCATACATTTGTTGCGAGTACAAATGTTGAGGTATCCTCATGTTTATTTATTTTGACTGTATTGGTATGACACAAAAAAGTAGAGACTCAAAAAGCCAAATCTGACACATTCCAACATTGGTAATTGCAGCAATTTTCTATACAAAGTGGTGCACTATCTGACAGAAACGCAGGGGTGCCAATATCTTTGGCCATGACTCTATATATATATATGTATGTATATATATATATATATATATATATATATATATATATATATTGTGTGCAGTGCGGTATCCTGCCACGGTGGAAATCACGGTGGTGACCCAGGATTCTCAACCATATAGGTTGAGGGGCTCCAGGCAGTTCTCATAAAGCAGAGGAAACTGGTTTATTGATTTCCTCTTTGGTTTGTAAAGCCTGTTTTGGGACCTGTAGCCTAGAGATTTCTAAGAGATTTGAGAGGGATGAAATCTCGCCAATCCTGGGCCCATGTTTTGAGAGCAGCCAGCGCGCTGATTGCACAGGTGTGTGCAGGCCTTTTTGTGGAGGCCAGGCCATGATTCTGGGCTCCACCCCGGCAGACAGGAGGGCTCCACCCCGGCAGACAGGAGGGCTCCACCCTGGCAGAAGGAGGGCTCTGCCTTGAAGTAAGGTGGGGTTCATCAAGGAGAGGTGGAAGCCAGAATAGCTGTGTGCTAGAGGTTCGCTGTGTGCAAAAACAACCTTTTGGAAGGAGTCTGTAGGAGACAGACATAAAGCGGTACGCCTGAGAGAGCCAGATGGCTGAAAATTGTTTAATTTGTTTGATGGTGGATATCCCTGTGTGGGAAGCATTTATGGAACTTTTTCTTTTAAATAAAATTGGGCAAAAGGCCCTTAAAAAGAAGTGAGTTGCTGTGTGCTTTTGAAAAGACAAGCTCTACCATTTGAAGTGAGTTCCCACAATATATATATGTATCTGCATTGAAATTGTATGGTATTGATATAATATTGAAATATAGTTTCTGTTGTATTGTATAGTAATGCTATATATTTGTGTTTCTATATGGTTGTAGTAAACTAAAATATATATATATATATATACAGTTGCAAGAAAAAGTATGTGAACCCCTTGGGATTACGTGAGTTTTGCATGAATTGGGCATAAAATGTGCTCATGAACGTCATCTAAGTCACAACAATAGAAGAACACAGTCTGCTGAACATAATACTACACAAAACATTAGATGTTGCCATGGTTTAATTGCACATAACATGTAAACATTCACAGTGCAGGGAGGAAAAAGTATGTGAACCTTTGATTTAATAACTGATTGACCCTCCTTTGGCAGGAATAACCTCAACCAAAACGTTTCCTGTAGTTGCAGATCAGACCTGCACAACGATCTGGAGTAATTTTGGACCACTCCTCTTCACAAAATTGTTTCAGTGTAGAAATATTCTTGGGATGTCTGGTGTGAATCGCTCTCTTAAGGTCATGCCACAGCATTTCAATCGGGTTGAGGTCAGGACTCTGACTGGGCCACTCCAGAAGGCGTATTCTGTGCTGTGGCAGCCATTGTTTTGAAGAATTACTTGTATGCTTTGGGTCATTGTCCTGTTGCATCACCCATCCTCTGCGGAGCTTCAGTTGGCGGACAGATGGTCGTACGTTTTTCCTGCAAAATGTCTTGATAAACTCTGGAATTCATTTTCCCATCAATGACAACAATCCGTCCAGGCCCTGAGGCAGCAAAGCAGCCCCAAACCATGATGCTCCCTCCGCCATGTTTTACAGTGGGGATGAGGTTTTGATGTTGGTGTGCTGTGCCTTTTTTTCTCCTCACATAGTGTTGTGTGTTCTTCCCAAACAACTCAATCTTGGTTTCATCTGTCCACAGTATATTTTGCCAGTAGTGCTGTGGAACATCTAGGTGCTCTTTTGCAAACTTCAAACGTGCTACAATATTCTTTTTGGACAGCAATGGCTTCCTCCGTGGTGTCCTCCCATGTACTCCATTCTTGTTTAATGTTTTCCTTATTGTAGATGTGTCAACAAAAATGTTAGCATGTGCCAGAGATTTCTGTAGGTCTTTAACTGACACTCTGGTATTCTTCTTTACCTCATGCAGCATTCTGCGCTGTGTTCTTGCAGTCATTTTTACAGGACGACCATGCCTAGGGAGAGTAGCAACAGTGCTAAACTTTCTCCATTTGTAGACAGTCTGTCTTACCGTGGACACATGAACATCAAGGCTTTTGGAGATACTTTTGTAACCCTTTCCAGCTTCATGCAAGTCAACAATTCTTGATCATAGGTCTTCTGAGAGCTCTTTTCTGCGAGGCATGGTTCACATCAGAGAGTGCTTCTTGAAACCAGTAAACCCAAAACAGGTGTGTGTTTTTTAAGGGCAGGACAGCTGTCAGCAACACATCCAATATCATCACACTGATTGGAGTCAAGGTTGGCTCACTCCTGGCTCCAATTAGCTCTGGGAGAAGTCATTAAGCTAGGGACTCACATACTTTTTCCTCCCTGCACTGTGAATGTTTACATGTTATGTGCAATTAAACCATGGGAACATCTAATGTTTGTGTAGTATTATGTTCAGCAGACTGTGTTCTTCTATTGTTGTGACTTAGATTGACGTTCAGAGCACATTTTATGCCCAATTCATGCAAAACTCCACATAATCCCAAGGGTTCACATACTTTTTTTTGCAACTGTATATATATATATATATATATATATATATATATATATATATATATATATATATTATGGTATTGATTATTGATACTGTATTGATACAGTGAATATAAAAAGTCTGCACACCCCTGGTAAAATGTCAGGTTTCTGTGATGTAAAAATATGAAACAAAGATAAGTTATTTCTGAACTTTTTCCACCTTTAATGTAACCTATAAACTGTACAACTCAATTAAAAAAACAAACTGAAATCTTTTAGGAGGGGAGTAAACATAAAAAACTAAAATAATGTGGTTGCATAAGTGTGCACACCCTCCTATAACTGGATGTATCTGTGTTCAAAATTAAGCAATCACATTCAAAATCATGTTAAATAAGAGTCAGTACACACCTGCCATCATTTAAAGTGCCTCTGGTTAACCCCATATAAAGTTAGCTATTCTAGTAGGTCTTTCCTGACATTTTCTTAGTCACATCCTACAGCAAAAGCCATGGTCCGCAGAGAGCTTCCAAAGCATCAGAGAGTTCTCATTGTTAAAAGGTATCAGTCAGGAGAAGAGTACAAAAGGATTTCCAAGGCATTAGATATACCATGGAACACAGTGAAGACAGTCATCATCAAGTGGAGAAAATATAGCGCAACAGTGACATTACCAATAACTGGACGTTCCTCCAAAATTGATGAAAAGACGAGAAGAAAACTGGTCTGGGAGGCTGCCAAGAGGCCTACAGCAACATTAAAGGAGCTGCAGGAATATCTGGCAAGTACTGGCTGTGTGGTTCATGTGACAACAATCTCCCGCATTCTTCATATGTATGGGCTATGGGATAGAGTGGCAAGATGGAAGCCTTTTCTTACGAAGAAAAACATCCACCCCCGGCTAAATTTAGCAAAAACACATCTGAAGTCATCCAAAAGCATGTGGGAAAATGTGTTATGGTCTGATGAAACCAAGGTTGAACTTTTTGGCCATAATTCCAAAAGATATGTTCGGTGGAAAAACAACACTGCACATCACCAAAAGAACACCATACCCACAGTGAAGCATGGTGGTGGCAGCATCATGCTTTGGGGCTGCTTTTCTTCAGCTGGAACTGGGGCCTTAGTCAAGGTAGATGGAATTATGAACAGTTCCAAATACCAGTCAATATTGACACAAAACCTTCAGGCTTCTGCTAGAAAGCTGAACATTAAGAGGAACTTCATCTTTCAGCATGACAACGGCCCAAAGCATACAAATCAACAAAGGAATGTCTTCGCCAGAAGAAGATGAAAGTTTTGGAATGGCCCAACCAGAGCCCACACCTGAATCCGATCAAAAATCTGTGGGGTGTTCTGAAGAAGGCTGTGCACAGGAGATTCCCTCACAATCTGACAGATTCAGAGTGTTTTTGCAAGGAAGTGGGCAAACATTGTCAAGTCAAAACGTGCCATGCTGATAGACTCATACCCAAAAAGACTGAGTGCTGGAATAAAATCAAAAGGTGCTTCAACAAAGTATTAGTTTAAGGGTGTGCACACTTATGCAACCAGATTATTTTAGTTTTTTTTATTTTCACTTCCCTTCACCTAAAAGATTTCAGTTTGTTTTTCAATTGAGTTGTACAGTTTATAGGTTACATTAAAGGTGGAAAAAGTTCTGAAATTTATCTTGGTCTCTTTTTTTTTTTTACATCACAGAAACCTGACATTTTAACAGGGGTGTGTAGACGTTTTATATCCACTGAATATAGTTGCACTGACATTGTGTGGTATTGATATAATATTGATTTATAATTATACTGTATGATATTGCTATACAGTTGTACTGATATTGTATGGCGTTGAGTTGTATTGTATTGATGTATAGTCGTGTTGTATTGATGTATAGTTGTATTGATGTGTAGTCATGTTGTATTGATGTGTAGTCATGTTGTATTGATGTAAAGTTGTATTGATGTAAAGTTGTATTGATGTGTAGTTGTGTTGTATTGATGTATTGTGTAGTCATGTTGTATTGATGTGTAGTCATGTTGTATTGATGTAAAGTTGTATTGATGTGTAGTTTTGTGTTTGATTGATGTGTAGTCATGTTTGTATTGATGTAAAGTTGTTTATTGATGTGTAGTTGTGTTGTATTGATGTGTAAAGTTGTATTAATGTATAGTTGTGTTGTATTGTTTGTGTAGTATTGATGTTTGTATTGATGTAAAGTTGTATTAATGTATAGTTGTGTTTGTATTGATTGATGTGTAGTCATGTTGTATTGATGTAAAGTTGTATTAATGTATAGTTGTGTTGTATTGATGTGTAGTCATGTTGTATTGATGTAAAGTTGTATTGATGTATAGTTGTGTTGTATTGATGTAAAGTTGTATTGATGTATAGTTGTGTTGTATTGATGTAAAGTTGTATTGATGTATAGTTGTGTTGTATTGATGTGTAGTCATGTTGTATTGATGTAAAGTTGTATTGATGTATAGTTGTGTTGTATTGATGTATAGTCGTATTGTATTGATGTATAGTCGTATTGATGTGTAGTTGTATTGTATTGATGCATATAGTATTGTATTGATGTATAGTCGTATTGTATTGATGTGTAGTATATTGATGTATAGTCGTATTGTATTGATGTGTAGTATATTGTTTGATGTGTGTAGTCGTATAATATTGATGTATAGTCGTATTGTATTGATGTTTAGTTGTATTGTATCGAAGTATAGTTGTGTTGAATTGATGTATTTTATTGATGTATAGTCGTGCTGTATTGATGTATAGTTGTATTGATGTGTATTGTTTGTATTGTATGATGTATAGTTGTGTTGTATTGATGTATAGTGTATTGATGTGTAGTTGTATTGTATGGATGTTATAGTTGTGTTGATGTGTAGTTGTACTGTATTGATGTATATAGTCGTATTTGTATGATGTTTAGTTGTATTGTATCGAAGTATATTGTGTTGAATTGATGTATTTTTTATTGTGTTGTTATTGATGTTTGTTGAATGTGTTGTTGTATTGTATGGATGTTGTTT